CCTGCTCCAGGCCCCGCTCCAGCTTCTGGTGGGTCCCGGGCGTGGGACAGCACACCTCCTGACTTCACGCTGTGTGCTCCCTGTGAGGTGTCTCTGTCCAAATTCCCCCTTTTACTGAGGATGCCAGCGGATTGGGTTAGGCCCACCCTACCCCAGTGTGACCTCACGTTACCTTGACTCACTGCATCTGCAATGGCCCTATTTTGAAATAAGGTCACATTCTGGAGGTAATGAGGGTTAGGACTTTAATATGCAAATTTGGGGGAGATGCAGCTTAACTCATAACTACCAGAGCCTGGTACAGGTACTGTTCAGAGAAATCATTCTTCTCCCACATTCTGCCTCTGCTCATGGCATGTAGGGACTTTCCTTCTGAGCTTCCTCTGTTTACTCTGGCACCCCTTGCTAAGCTCCTCACTCAGCCCTCCCCCAGGAGGGGAATTGTTCATTGGTGGGCCAGCGCCTGCTCTTTTTGTGCATGTCCACTGGTGGGTGAGGCCGCTGTGGCCACACTCTCTGTCCCCACAGGGACCCACCCTTCCCTTTGGGCCAGCACACCGCATATCCGTTTGCCCCAACTCCTAGGAAAGGTCATTTAGGGCTGTTCTACAAATCCAGCCACATTACATGTTCCTTGTGGCATCCCCCAAGTGGGCAGCCTGGAGTCTGCTTCAGACCTGACCCCACGAGGATGGAATGTGCAGGTTATCAAAGTTAATGAAAATATAGGTGGTCAGTGCTTACTGATGTCAATAACAGCATCCATGAGAGGCCACCAAGAAGCAAAGACATTTTTTTTTAACAAAGTTTACTTTATTACATTAATTTTACATGAGAGAATATGAAGTGCAGATGTCTAAATTCTCTTGCTGATTCTCTTGAAGACAATGTCACCCAATGTCATGGTCTGAAAGTCAGAAAAGAAATCATGCAATAAGTATGATTGCAAAATTGTAGTAAGCATGCAATCTAACCTCTCTAACCATCTGATGTTGAATTGTAAAAGATGACTAAGTCATCAAAACAGCTGTAACTATGCTATCATATGTAACAGCCCAAGGAGTCCTCTGTTTTTTATAGGACCAGAGAAAGGGTTGGCAATCTTTTCTAAAATCCCAGGCCAACTTTTTGTCACTTTCCTTCCTCACGTGGAGAGTTATCCTGGCTCTTACTGAAGTCTTTTCTACATTAATGACTGTTAGAGCCTGACCATCAAAACCAGTTTTGTCCAATCCCATTTCTCAAAGTTTGATTGAGTGCCTATGTACCAAACACATGATGAGTAGCAAGGACATATGTATATGGAAACACCGAGGCACCCAGCCTGGAACATAGCAGGTAGGGCCTAATTTCCTCCAAAGTTTAGAAGCATATAAAACCCCTGGATTTCTTGGACTCATCAGTTTTTGAGATTTTGAGGCATGTCCCCTTCCTCCCCTACCTCACCCTCCCACTGATC